AGGTCTTGAAACAATATTATCGTTTATCGCAATAATTTTTTAGACAATTAATCGTCCAGCAAAATTTGATATCGTGACGTTCCTAGACATTTGCACAAATGTTTGTGTATTGTGTGCAATATTGATATTCTGGGTTTTGCTGCACTTCCTGAAAATGTAGTAGTTCTCCTAAAAGTGATTTTCCAAAGTAGATCTACACACTGGATCAAAATTGCTGCAGAATTTCAGTATTTGATGTAACAGTTGCACTGGATGCAATATTTAGAAGAGTACTTTATGTAAAGTCCCATCAGCTGCTGCTCTGCATGCCAACATTACTGTTCTTGCCAACAATGTTCATTCCTCTTAATCTTTTTAATGTTTTTCACAAACTTCAGTGATTTTCTTTTTTCTTTTTTTTTCCGCCTTTTTGGGAATTTCATTGAAAGACCAACACAACATGTTGCATAATTATGAAGCGAAAAGTTAAGGATGTTTTCAACACTTTTTCAAATCTGAAAAGTGAGTCAGACATTTGTATTCAGTTCACCCTGAAAGCAATGAGAAGCCCCTCGATTAGAACACAGAATTAGCCAGACAACATTAGCGAACAAACAGCCTCATGAAAACAAGAAAACACAGCAGACAGATCAGAGATGAACTTGTGTAGAAGTTTAAATCAGGGTAAGGATAGAAAACTGGTTCCAAAGTTGTAAGACTTTGAAGATCACAGTGGATCGCTGCTGTCCGTCTACATTAACAGGCTGGATCAAGGAAGAAGGTGCTTTAGTCAGGTATATTAACAATGTTTGTTATGCTTGATCCAGACCTCTGATTTAAAATTGATGAAAATGTTCCTTAGATAAAATATTTATATAGGTTCTGATGCTTTATTACGCATAAATAAACCATTAAATGAAACATTTTTGACAGCTTTCCGTAAATCGTTATAAAAGGATATTAGACTTCTCATCATATTATGTGAACATGTTTCTAAGTCCTTTAAATGACTGTTTTACTCGTGGTTTTGTGTCTCACAGTTTAGACCCAGACTCCGACCCGCTTTGCATGCTGCTGCTCATCGATTTCCTCATGCTTCGCTCCAGAGAGTACAAGTCTCTCCTTCAGCTGTATCAGGACTGGGAGGTAAAATTGGGGCCTTTGTGTGCAACACTTAACTCCTTAGAAATCTCATACTGATTTAAAAAAAAAAAAAATTATAACTCTTTATTTCTTTCCAGGAGCATAGAAATCTGTCTCAGCTGCCAAACTTTGCATTCTCCTGCGCGCTCTGTCATTTCCACCTGAGTCAGCAAGAAGATGTGGATCCTGAAGAAGGCGACAAACAGAGGCAACAAGCTGACCAGATGCTGCAGAGCGCTCTCATAATGTTTCCTGGAGGTTAGATGAAATCCTTCACACACCCTGTGTTTAGGGGCACAACTTATAGAGAGGTTTTCATCATTTATTTCTGGCTGTAATTATGTTGTTTTGCAGTTTTGATGCCTTTGCTGGATCTATGCACTGTTCAGCCTGACAGCACAGTCTCTTCCCATAGCTTCTTTGGCCCAAAGAGTCAGATAGGGTAGGTCTCCTTTTTCTTCCTAATGTAGCGCATAACCCACAAACGCTATTGCATAAATGCTGCATGCTAAAATTGATCTGTCCACACCGTATAACCAAGAAAAAAAAAAACTTTATGTAACATATGCTGCAGATAAAGATCATTGTTTGAAATCCACCAAACGTCATGTGTCTGCAGGCAGCCACCAGCTTTGGCTGAGCTCACGGCTCTGTATGTGGGGAGAACGTACAGCCTGTGGAAGGAGGCGGCGGTAATGCTCTGGCTGGAGGAGTCCGTGAAGGAGGTGCTGCGCCGGGTCGATGCCAAAGATGCTCTCGTAGAGGACTGCCAGAACAAGTAAGCTGTACACTTCCTGCTTGCTCGCCCTCACTCGTATTTCTGCCGGCTTTGTCATGCGTCAAACGAAGACGAGCCATGTTAAGTAAAAATGCCACCGTATGTTGCTTAAAGAGCTAAGTGGGTACAATGTATTTATTTACTGATGAACTTGGACTCTATATTAATAATTCATTAATTTTGATAAGTGTTGTCATTTCTCGCTCTGTTACAGGAGAAAGCAGAGATACCAGAGTGCACCAAGAAACATCCATCGCCATGTTCTGCTGTCGGAGATTAAAGAAGCCACCTCCACTCTGCCTCTTGTAAGAAGTCACCAGCTGCCTTTCAGAAAATTGAATGATCAGGCTTTATGTGCTGATGTCAATATCAGATTTTCTTTAAATTAGATTAAATTTGATATCAAAGGACACTAAAACATAATATTCTTAAGGATATTTGATAATCGCAGTAGTTTTGATACAACAAATGAAGGAAGGAAATATCCTTCATATTTCCATACATTTAACACTTTTTCTTACTTATTAATATCATAAAAGTTGCATTAAAGCACATAGTGTGAATTGATGCACGAAACTGAAAATGTTAGGAGTTTGTAGTTTTGGTGGGTTTATTAAACAGATAAATCCATATCTGAGCTCATTCATTGGTTCTCTCTGCAGATATCTTGAAAATCTCCTGCACAGATGATTTCAATATGGCAAAACTGGCTCTACTTTTAGCAGGCATGTTGATTGAGGCATGTTAGTCTGATTGTGTCAGAGAAGCTGACCAGGCCTGACTCCTGATTGCTGTTGTCATTTCCACAGCTCTAGCACACAGATTACAAATTTCAACATATCCTCATGCTCTGTGCTTTTTATTTATTTATTTTTTTCCTTCTTCAAACCGACACGCAAAAAAGCCCGGCTCCACTCCACAACAAAGTTTACCAACTCATGATCCAAACCTTGAGAATAGACTCGTGTTTCTTCTATTTAAAGTCCAGACATTTTCTTGGGTGTGATGAACTCTCTGTTCTTTCCAGGCTGTAGATGAGCTTAGCCATCAGCAATGCTGCAGAAAGTTTAAAAAGCCAATTATTTTTTCAAAGGTGATAGTTAAAAAAAAAAAAAAATGTATGGTATATTTCTAACTCCTGTAGGAGGTGACCACTCAGCCTGTGATGGGTTTTGACCCTCTGCCTCCACTGGACTCAGTGATTTCATACACCAGACCAGAAAGGTGATGTGATGCATTCATGTGCATGATCTTCTTCATAGAACAAACATTCTTCTAACTTTAGTTCATTATAAATTTAAAGCATTGTCCCGATTTAGTGTTTTTTTGTGTCTTCACATTCAGGCAGCATGTTGGTGCATCCAATGAGAGCACGCTGTCGCTGTTTTTCCGCTCTTTGCTCCCAAACTTCAACCTTCAGGTGAGTTACACAAGTTCTGCTCCTGGATTCTTGGAAAGATTAAATCGTTTAAATTACGTGACATAAATGGCGGAACAAAATCACAAAGAAGACCCACATGATTACCCTGATGTCGACTGGGTGTCTTTCAGGAGTAGTTTGTGAATGTCTCTCTCTACGCTCTAAAGAGGAAGCTGCTAATACGTCCAAAGACGTTGGCATTGAATATGAGCTGAAAGCACTAATTAAGAACCCATGCTATGCATGTGGAGACGACATGTGATCAGCAGCTGTAAGCCCCACAGACACAAGTTATTTGTCTCTTGACAAATTTTGTTACTCTGTCCAGAGTTTGGTCAGTACAGTCGATATAAACTTGCTTCTTCGACAGGCGGAAAGTAAAGCAGTCTTTAATATTCTTCTTCCTGTAGCCTTAAGGGTTTTTGCAGAACTTCCTGCCACATTTGGAAAGAAGGATGTGCTTAACCTCTGTCCAAATAAGAAGCCAAGCTTCTCTTACAGCAAAAAGAAGAGAAAGTTGACGTAGTGTTTGGGGAAAAAAAGAAATCATAAATCTAAACGCTGCAAAGTTCTGTCCTGGTTTTAGATCTTGGTTTTATGTGATGAAACATAGTGCCTGTAAATGACTGACCTGGACATGTCAGTCATTTACTTTGTTATGGATGCTTGTCTTATTTTATGAGATTTATGCATCGGTAAATAATTCTTAATGCATTCACTATTCTGTAAAGTTTCTCATTCCACATTATTACCAGCGAGTCTTACTTTGCTATTTTTTTTGCAGTGCGCTCTTTAGGTTTCTGGAGATTTTTCAGAGTTTTTCTTTCTTCTGCTTTTTCCGGCATGTTGAGTACTGACCAATTTCAGGGGAACTTTTGAGTTTAAGCTTATTAATTTTGACGTAAAAATCATTCAAGTAGAAAAATTATTGCTCAAGTGACGACCGTGTCTTTAGGCACTTTTACACTCTGAGACATGGAGACAATTTAATCCAGTTTCCTAGATTTCATTATGTTAAATGTGCACTATTTTATTGTTACAACCAACAAAGACATTTCTTTCAAATACTGGCCACCTGCTGCTTACATTTCTTTTAGATGCGTTTGTTCACAACATGCTGTTTTATCCAGGCTTGTACTGCAAACAAGCAAAGAACGAAACAGAATCCAAAGAAAAACTTTCATGCTTTGACAGCCCATGCACCACTAGTGGTAAATCTATCACAGCTTGTCAACAATGGATCTAAAATAAACCCTTTGTTGTTCATTGAATTTACATGAAATAGAAATGTCCTCTCAGAAAATTACAAAGATCCTAGCAATTAAATGAAAATCAATAAATTTACAAACAGTGATTTGAAAAAGCTTTTGCTCCAATGCAGATTTTTTTTAAATGCTCATGAGCGTTTCATCTCATCAAAGCCATTTCATTTACTACATAATAAGTGACACAGTTGGTAGCGCTGATGCTACGTCAGAATCATAAATTGGACCATAAATTTTGCTCCCACCAGAAAATCCCAAAGATTAATTTCCACCAGTCGGTTCATGACTTTGAGACAAAGCCAACTTGGGTTGTTTAGCAGGACTCAGACAGCACATCCGTAAACAAACAAATCTACTAATGGAAAAAATAAAAATAACAAAAAAAATACATCTGTGTGTGCAGCAAAGATAGCAACATTATTTTAATTAAATAAATAAATATAGGATTCCTGTAGCAGTTTTTCTGTGTTGGTTGAGCCCAAACTGCTGATTGAGGTGAATAGGAAGAATCATTATAGATGTAAGCAGCAATGATTCTACTTCTATTAAGGCATATGACCTTATGCATGGATGAATCATAATTTCTTCACAGAGAGCTGATTCGAACCAATGATCTTGTTTATCACCTGATTCAATTTGTTCCAATGTTTAAGGGATTACCATTTAAGTATGATATATGGAGTGATGTTTTTAGGTCAGCATGTGTTTACTGCTGCTGAATCCCATGTAATTTCTATGAAGACAATCATCGTCATGACCTCTTCATCAATTTAATCTGCTTGCATCGAGCTTGAACTTGTCTTTCCACATTAACTCGCAGGTGATTGAAATTAGAAATATGTTCCACTATTTGGTCTTTTATAAATGCTGAATTAAATGCAAACCCCTTGACCGATCTTACTCATGAATCTTACGCCTGAATCCTCCAAGTATTTTCTGAGTCTGATACTTTTTGCTCTTTTTCCTCATAGTTTCACTAATTTTTTATGATGTTGCCAGAGCCCCAAAACCTCAAAAACATTGGTGTGGCGCATCATCTCTAGTTTTCCGGTTAGCGGTTACAAAATCGACATAGATACAGCTGTTAGGCCGCAGCACCCTGCAGGCCTTGTGGAAACATTTGTGCTGCTAACAGCTAGGAGGAAATATTTTAACACATGCCCTTGACTGATGAAACATTTCCTCCCAAAGCTCATGGTTAGCCTAAAGGGACAACGACTATAGAGCGTCTATTAAGGCATATGACCTTTTTGCAGTTAATTTTGTCTTCTATTTGCCAGTGTGTTGGTGAAGAGTTAAACAATGAAAACATTCACAAAGTTGTTTGCTTTTGCAGCATGCTTGCTATTAATGAATTTTATTCATTGGGATGATGAAGGACCACTGTATGGAAATATCAGTTAATTTTCACTTAGTTATTATTCAACCTCTTTTCTTTTTTTAATAATCCTTGATGTATGGAAAATAAATAAGTGACTGCATGTGTCTTCCATTAGTTGAGCATCTTCCAGTTTTATTTTAACCTTTTACTATGCTCTAAGGCTTTTAGACAAGTGCCAGGAAAAATGTTGTGGGATTTTGGTAACGCATACTTGCTTTGTGCTAAATAATTTTTTGATTAAATAAGTCAAACCTTCTTAGACAAGTTGTTTGGTTCATACTTTGAATTGTGTGCGATAATGTTTAATTGCAGTTGTTCATTTCATTGAATTTTGATTTGATTGCCTTTTAACAAAATTTCTGAAAGCTGTTGTGATTGTGGTACAGGACATTCAGAAACTGGTTTTACTGAACCAAAGTTGATCATTTTATTTTGTTCAAAGCTCTTATCTGTTGTGTTTTTTAGTGTTTTAGGCTTTTAGCATCCCGTCTTTGAGAACTGAAAGTCAGTTTGTTTCTTAACAGGAAGAGAACGCTCTTTAGAAAAAAAGAGCAAAAAAAAAAACAAAATACGTACTGTTGGATTTTGTATAAAACTTAATTTAAATGTGAATTTTATTACATCTGCTGAATAGAATTTTTTTTGATTGAATCAGGTTTTCAAAGAAGTGAAAAGTTGTTCTGGGTCAACAGCATTGTATAAACAGCTTGACCTGTTCAAAGTGAGCTTTAGTTTTTGTAGCGTCGACTTTCTGTTGACTTCAGGCAGATCTGAAACATGAAGGTCATGCACCGACCTGCCATCTTTCCGTACATCAACCGCTCTTTGGCTCGCATGAAGTCGGGTCGCAGATGTGACGGGTCCAAAAGGATAATCTGTACATTTCTCTGGCCAACGACTGTCTCCAGCTTATTCCTGGAGGATCCCAAAGTGTTCTCAGGCCAGAAAGGCTCCTGCCATCAGTCATTGACAAAAACACAAAATACTTGGAATCTTGATCTCTAGAGGCAGAAACTGATCTGAACCTGGAAAAAGAACAGGAGGAGCCTTTTTGTTTGCTATGAGGCTGTTCTCCTTTTGTTCTTCTGTCAAAATTAGAACAGGGATGAGGTCATCTCCAAATGAAAAGCCCCTTTCTGATCATGTTGTTCATTGATCTACATGTGTTTATCCATCCTTGGGATCAACTGAAAGGTCCCAGCACGGAAAAAAGGGCCACATTGTGCCTGTGGTCCATCTCACAAACTCATAACCACTGAAGACTGTAAGGGCTAATATAAAATTGTGGAACGAAGTGATTTGATGCAGAGTAAAGTCAGCTGCAGCTGCAGCAGCAGGAGTCCTCAGTGCTGTCAGCCTGCCCCAGCGTGAATGGCTGAATGACTAATGCTACACAAGTACAGGCCATTTAGCATTTACCAGTGAACGGATGGATCCCCTAGACAGTAATGTTCTTATAGTATGTGCCCTGGTTGGAACCTAAAGGCTGCAGAGTGCTGCTACAGGATGCTGCTTGTGATTGGCGAGCAGCAGAACGACCCTAAACGAGGTTAAGCAGAGACGCATGTGTATTCAGGGGTTCATAAGTATCACTCACTTTCCTTATCTCATCAATGTTCTTGTAATCCAATGCCTTTTAGTAACATAAAACAAACAGAAACATTAATACATATAATGCTTTGCAAAAGTGTCCA